GACACGTGACATTTATTGTCCTATAAACCTCTTTTCACTTGGACAACGTTTTTGGGATCGACTGTATTAGCCTGCATGTTACATTTATTCGTACAGTTTGCCTTAAAACCCCAAAGGTTGCATCTTAGCATGGTTGGGGGTTCACGTTCCCCTTTTTTCCACACTGTGGTTTTTGGGGTTTTCGTGACCGGCTTTGATGCTTAAGTTTATTTTCTATACTATTAATTGTAATTATTTCTGCTGTTACCTTTAGTGCATTGTGGACTTGATTAATACATTCATACTTACTGTGCGGTTGCAATTTACCTTGCCACGATTATAGTGCATCGAGGGCCCGGATATGCACAATTTGTTTAGTTTAGTTTATACATTGTATACTGGTCTTATTGCAATAAAACTCTACCGGCGTGGGCCCAGCTGACCCACCTGCCCATGTATAACAAAAGTGTGTGTGTTGTATTTCTAGCGTAGTGGAGTCAAAATTGTCAGTTTTTGAAGGAAGTTTCACGATTGTTCAGATTGATTGCATGTCCGATCTATGAGTAGCTGGATATATCATGCACGCATGGCAGAATGCAAGATGTTTGTCACTAGTAGAACTTAGATGGCCAGAAAGTAGCTGCAGCTGCAAAACTGAAGATCCAGTAGCAAATGGTAAAAACGTGCACGGTTTCTACTGAAAGACAAACTGGCAGGTTCTTTTAAAACACTCTATTTCATCTAAATGAATACTACCACGCTATGTCTGTCTCATTGACCAGTATTCATCATAGTTTGCCCTGAGGTACTACCGACTAGACACTAGCGGGTAAAGTATTCATATTTGGACAAAGCGAAGCAAAGCAAAGGCTCTGAGCCTCAAATAGCTTGCATATGCGTTACTTGCTCGGCTCCGTCTTATAGCAAACTATTAAACGGCCGTTCAGTAAACCAGAATAAACACACGAGAAACGCGTGTAATCAAACAACCGGCCAAAGATTTGCTCATGTCGTTTTAACGTCAAACTTTGAAGATTAGACAATCCATTGAGTTTTAAGTGAAAAATCATCGCCAGATTAGCATATAGTCATTTTGAATTACAAGCTTTATTTAATGAATTTCGCTCTTTTTTGAAATTACAGACATATTCAGTAGTAAAAAAAACTCTCGAAAAAGGATTTAAGCTAATTTATGAGCAATTTCACGCTTCTACGAGTAAATCTTAACGATTCTAGTTAAAATATGAAGCACGGATGCTTCAAGAACAATCTATCTTATCATTTATGTGACTTCAATCCAAGCCWCCAAAAACCATGAATGAAAATAATTCAAATTATCCCACAATTTTCATGTTATTTTCAGGCCTTGGACCTGATCCATAATTCCTTAGTAACAAGAAAAGCAAAGACTAACCAAAACTGCCTAAAATGGAGTTGTTTTTAAATTTAAGCATACGCTTTGCAATTACAAGTAGCTTATTCAAAACCGTGTTCGTTTATTCTAGAATATGTTTCACAAATGAATGAGTCACGTTCATTGTTTGGTGTAACGTCATTCTGTCAAGATTTATTGACAGATTAAGTTAGGAAAAAATTGTAAACTCTGAACTATATAGTTGTTTTAAAGAGGAATGGCATTAGTTTTTCTTTTAAGCGTCTGGTCTTAGTCCTTGTTTTTTGGAAAAAAAGGTGCTTAAATCATATAAAAGACAGTTCCGTAAGTTTTTCTGGATCAGCATTACTAAAATTATATTTCCCAGCATCAATAATTCATGGCGGCTGGATAGCATCTTCAAGGACATCGAGAGATTTCAAAGAGATTGCATTTAAATGTCGTTACTTTAGAATTTCACTGATCCTTAGCTATTGGATTTGCATTTAGGGTTAGACAAGCAATCGTATTGAATTACTTTTTTGACCGAATTTATTGACTTTTCTCCCCGGGCGTCACGCATATGTTTTTTCTAGTACAAACTGCTCTCCCTTCGCTTTGTTATTTGTAGGATTACTAGAAAGTGGCTCAAGCGTGGGAAGAGAAAAATAAGTGTGAGAAAATAACTCCAGTGAGCTTGGTCTGGAAGCACCGCGGACCCCTCTCGCGTCTCTTGTTCCAGACCTTTCTATTTGCTAACAACAATACGTTATGCAAATTGACCTTTAGATGGGAGTATAAAGACTCAGAGACCTGGAACACCCTTTATTCGCGAACCCTTCCAAGTGCACGCTGTTTTTGTCTTTTGGTCCGTGAACTATATTCTGCGCTTCGATTTTTTGAGAGTGTTTGCTCGATTCACTCACTCTAGTAGTAGGCCATGTCGGGGAATTCGACTACAGCAGCACCGACAACAGCCACTCCGAAGAACGACAGCACTAGCACGTTCGTCGTTGCTTTGGTAATCAACGGTATCATTGCTCTAGTAGTGCTGTTGATATACTCGCTGTTAAGGCCCAAGCTAAAGCACATCTACGCTCCGCGATTGCTTTTGGTCGACAAGAAGTACCCACTTGGAACCCTGTCGGAGAAATGCTTCGGTTGGATTTTACCAGCGTTCAAGGCAAGCAACGATGATATTTTCAACTACTGTGGGATGGATGCGCTCGTTCTGATTCGCTTCCTGAAGTTCTGCTTAGTTGTTTCCCTCATCATCCTCCCCTATGGGATCATCGTTCTCTTACCCATTCATGTGCATGGAGGATTGGATCTGGGGGAACTGGACCAGCTCACCCTTTCCAACGTGAAAGCCGAGTCGCATATGATCTGGGCGCACTTGATTGCGGTCTGGGCATACACGATAGTCATCTGTTACTTGCTCCACAGAGAATGGAAAATCTTTATTGTCTACAGGCAGAAATACTTAGCCAAGGGGTTAAGACACCACTATGCCGTGCTTATTCGAGATCTTCCTACTAAGGTAACGTAAATAAACCGTGTCATGTGTACCTTCTACGCAGTGTTTATCTTTTGAAGCCGAAGGAAAGGTGTGGTACGAGGGTGTGACCACATGTCTACTATACGTACCTGTTTTTATATTGTATTTACACGTGTTATTTGAATCCTTTTATATCGTTGGGCATGCAAAACCTGTGGGTTGGTTCAAGCGAAATCTCCCTCGTGAAATTCTGAATCAGAGCCAACAACTTTGGAATATTTTTTGTTGTTGATATATATTTGTGTTGAGAATCGTAGCATTGATGTTTTAATTTGTATTCAAAAATCCATTCGTAACTCCTTCTCACAAAATACTACAAAGACTTGTACCGAAACAAAACTTTAAATTCAGAAAGGCCATAGAATTTCAACCATTGATTTGGAAAATATGAATTCATGACTATAAAGGTTTTCTAAGTGTTCATTGAAAAACATCAATCAATATTGAACCCAGAAGCACCTAGACGTGACGGCAGTTAGGGATTTCAAGCAGTCTAGCGTAATTAACAGACTTGAAAAATAAAATAATTGATAAATAAATACTGGTTGATAATGATATGCATGATAATAAAAAAAACACTTAATAGGCTGGAAAAACTAAGGTTATAAACTAGTTACTCGTGGCCTGAAAGAATGAAAATCGGATTAAATTGGACTCAAACGTTCATAAGTTTTAATAGCGAGTTTCAAACCCGTTTTTGTTTTGTTTTTTTTTTTCCTGTGCATTGTCTTGTGAATACCTGTGGAATATAATTAATATAAATTATTATTTTATTGTTTTATGAAAAAAACTCGAAAGTTCCAGAAAATAGCAACGAATCATAAAACTTAAACAATATTTTGATTGTCTGATTATGAACATTGAATGATAAAAAAAAATTAATTACCTTTAGACGACTAATTGAATTCTAAGACTGTCGCTTTTCCATTGGTGGGAATTTCAATAACACAGGAGGCCCAATGTTATAAACACTCGTTCCCATTCTCCGACTTGTTTACTCGGACACAAAAACAAAATGGCGGACGCGAAGGAAGGGAATAATCTTTCCACTCGTTTGTATTTTCCCCCTGTTTTGCAGTTGTTTGTTCAAAGTTTATTGAGATATCCCTGGTTCCATGAAAGGTGTGGAAATATGTAAGCATTTCTAGTTTTCAACTCTGGATCATTTAGAAATATTTTCTAAATTTTGTACTATTTTTGTAGCATGCTTCCTTGGTGTTTGTTTAATAGCGTCTTTTGTACTAAGATATTTAAGAAACGTAGGATATTTCTTGGTCTTTCAGGCCTTACATTCATTGGGAACAACGCGAGGAGAAAATATTGAGCTTGAAGCAAAACAAAACCCATGTTTACAAAGAAATCTAAACTGCAAGAATACAATACATCCTCTAACACAATACTTAAACGTGTGTATTTATAAAAATAATAATCATTAATGCAATCTGTTAATAATCATTTGACATTATCATAATTTTGAAAAAGCCTAATATCTCATTAGAATATCTTGATCACAACTTAATTTGGGAGATTTGAAAATAGAAATAAAAGCTTGGTTAAATAATGTTTAATATAAATTGATTTCAGATTTTTGTTGTTGTTGCAAAGCATTTTGTTGTGGATAAAATATCCTTTGTAGCTTAACATTCAAATTCTGGGGATGAGAAATATAGGAATCTCACCTTTTTGTGAATATTATTATTATTAATATTATTATTATTACTATCATTATTAGTTTTTACCATATTGTTTGATCTCGAATTTGCATCTTATAAGCCTTATAATTTTATTTTAGCTCCAAAACAATGAGAGCTTGAAAGCCTATGTCGATCAGCTGTTCCCAGGACAGGTAAACTTTTTCATAATTTCACTAAGAATTTTACGTGCTTTTTATTGATCATTTTTGGGCAAAAAATAATATCAATAATAAATATCATGATTTGCATATGGTAGGTTATTGATGTTACTGTTGTTGAAGATCTTGACAAATGGCAGGAATTGGTTAACCAACATGACCAGTTCATATGGAAATTGGAGAAAGCAAAGGTAACTAGAGAATATTATATTAATATTTAGTTGGCTATCGCCAGGAGCTAGTTGGCTGGGATGCAAACTATTCACTTTTAATAGCTCATACCTCAGGTTATATTTTTGGATCGAAGTAGAGGATGATCTAAAGAGTGGTTTAGAATACAGAATTCTGGTTATGATTCATTTGTTGAATTTTTTGTTTCATAGTTTCTGCTGGAAAAGAAAGGTGAACGACCTCAGCACAAGACTAAACTGTGTGGTAAAGAAAAAGTGGACTCTATTTCCTGTTATGAGGAGGAGTTGAAGGTAAAATACTTGAAGTTTGACTTCAATACCTGTAACATCAATCTTTCTATCCATTCCATCTCATTAATCATTCCGTCCACATATATCCCATCCATTTTATTCCCATGCATCAATGGATGCATTAATCCATTCATGTCTATCCATTCATCTTTGTAGCCTTCTTTTCATCTAATCAATCAACCATCCAACCATCCAACCCTTTGATCAATCCATTTCTTCAACTATCCATTTATCAGGCAACTCACTTCACTCATATCCTTCAATCGAGCTCATCAATCTTTTTATCCATCTAACAATCCCATCCATCCATCTATCCATCTATTCCCTTCTATTCATTCATTTTTTCAATTATTCATATATCTGTCCATTCCTCCATCCATCTTCTTATTTCAATTCTTATAAGAAGGCCTCAAATTCATAACAAAATATTCTTATTACCTCACAAAACAGAGAGTCCGTGATGAGCTCACTGAAGAAAAAGACAAAGAACATAAAGCAACATGTTCTGCATTTGTGATCTTCAATTCCCTAAAAGCTGCAAGCTTGGCAGTGCAGTGCCGTTGGGACAGCGCACCAATTGCTAACATCATTCGCCCAGCCCCTGAACTCAACAATGTCATTTGGGGCAACCTCTCTATTTCCTTTTTGAGCAGGTATGACCGTTTTAGATACAAGACATGGCATTAGGATTTTCCTTCAGAGTCATGACGATGGATTTGGGGTCAGGGATCATATTATACTTGGAATCAGGGATCACATACTGGGAATAAGAGAACACAAAAGAGGGATTGGGAGGGTATGATTGAATTCAGGGATCAATTAAGGGATTATTTCTGTGATCAAAAGGTCTGACATTATTACATTTCAGGATTTGTGTTGCCAGAATTTTATGTACAAGTTTAGAATCAATTGTAAAAAAAAATCCCTCTATATCAAGACTCTGTTTTCTTGGTTCTTATTGAAATTTTTTCTTCAGAAAAATCCGGTCAATCATTGTGGTAGTGTTCACATTCTTTCTTGTTGTGTTCTGGATGGTGCCTGTTGCCTTTGTGTCGTCACTTATCCAACTTGAAAACTTGACCGAGAAACTTCCTTTCCTCAAAGCAGGTAATTAATTCATGTACATTACAGTTATTAGCCATTCCGATGCTGAGAATGAAACTGAGTTAATTTGGCATTGCATTCACTCAAAGTATGCTACTCAAATTGGCAAATATTTTAACCACATGATACACTCTCTTGATAATTTACCTTTTCATTATTACTGTCTCTTGATAAGAAATTAGAAGTAGGATGATTATTGCATTTATATTGTTTTTTTCTTTGTTTCAGTGAACGACATGCCTGTATTTGTAACTGGTTTTCTGGGTGGTTTCCTCGGTGGTTTGGCCCTGCTGATTTTCTTCATTATCCTACCTCTGGTAAAAACTATGTTTCATTCTATATTATTTAAATCCCATCCATCTTTTCTATCCTATCTAAACATCCCATTAATATTCACTTATCCTTCCCATCATATCTGTAAATTAATTGTGTCTCATCCATCCATCCATACTAACTGTCAATCCTTCCTATCCCATCCATTTTGTTTCACATTTCTGGACACTTTCCCATTCCTTTAGACAGCAACTCTGTCAATATAAATCTCCTTTCTGATTCTCTTTTAGATCTTGCGTTTGGTGTCAAGGCTTCAAGGTCTCTCTTCCTGTAGTGAGGTCCAAAGGTCAGCACTTGGAAAACTCTTCATATTCAAGGTAATAGGATTTTTAAAATGCCCAAAAATGATCCCTCCTATTTGCTCTTTTTTCTTTGGCTAATTTCCCATTTTGATTTCATTTATTAGATCCTCAACATGTTCTTGTTACTCGCCATTGCTGGCTCAGTTCTTAACAAACTTACCAACATCATGGAGGAGCCTACTAGCATTGTCAGCTTTCTTGCCAAAACCCTTCCTGGCCAGTCAACCTTCTTCATCACACTTATCTTGTTGATGGGTTTAGGTGGATTTCCCTTAGAGCTGTTGAGAATTGGCCCACTGATTGTCGTCGCACTGAAAAGAAAGTTCCTTAATCTGACTCCCAGAGAAGACAAGGCTGCCTGGAGACCACCTCCTATTGCTTACGATGTGCAGGTAGAATATGTTATCTCCCTGTTCTCTTCCTTAACTAATTAATCGTTGGTAGGCTTTAGAGAAAAGAAAGGGTTTCAAGAAACTTGGAGAAAAACACTCATTACAACATCACAACAGATAGAATAACACCTTTTTAGCTACTTTATAATGGGTAGGCCAGAGAGAAAATAAATGTTCTCAAACTCAGGAAAAAAACCCTTATGGCAAGGAATAAAACAACACCTTCCATAACTACTTTATTGTGGGTAAGCCAAAGGGAAAAAATTTTCTCGAGAAACTCAGAGAAAACCCCTCGTGACAAGGGATAGAACAAACGTTAAAAAATCTTGATTCACATGTGGTGTCAGGTAGACTCTAGCCTCCATAGGGCGCACATTATACCACTACCCCACCCTGATGTGTTTTGTATCTGTTTGTTGCAGTATGCTAATCATCTGTACGTACTGATTGTTGGATTGTGCTATTCCATCATGGCTCCTCTCATGACTCCATTTGTCTTCCTCTACTTCATCCTTGCTTTTATTGCCTGGTCTAACCAAGTCATGTGTGTCTACATTCCAACCTTTGATTCTGGTGGACTACTGTGGCCTAAGGTTTTCAACAGGTAGATAAAGTGCTTGCCATCGCAATATAATAATGTTAAGTTTCAGAAAATATCCATACCCCACCCACAGAGGAATTTGGAAATTCTGTTGGGGAGAGGGGTCAGAAAAAGAACCAAATTACAGAGTTTGTATGGAAGAAAATTGGAAGTTCCTGGGGGTAAGGGGGGTCTATTTTACAAATTACCTCTGTTGTGGGGGTATGGATATTTTTTGGAACTACACCATACCTCTTCTAGTCTTCCAAACTGTAACTATTTTCATTGCTTGGAAATGCATTTCGTTCTCTTTATCTTTCATCCATTTTTCATATTTTTTATTATATTGTAATACAAAAATTAATATTTTTTTCCAGAATGATTGCTGGTCTCCTAGTTTTCCAGTTGCTCATGATCGGCATCTTTGGTCTCAAAATGAATGCTGCTGTTTCTGTACTGGTTCTCCCACTGCCTGCCGTCTCCCTTTTGTTCTTCACCTTCGTGCAGTTTTATCTTCTCCCTGCCTCTGCCAACCTGACACAGGAGAAGGTCACTTCTGAAGAGGAGCCGCAGGTCCCAGCGGTAAGGCTTGTGTAAACCATCATACCAACCCACCAACCATCATACCAACCCACCAACCATCATACCAACCCACAAACTATCATACCAACCCACCAACCATCATACCAACCCACCAACCATCATACCAACCCACCAACCATCATACCAACCCACCAACCATCATACCAACCCACCAACCAACATACCAACACACCTTAGCCAACTAAACAAAAAAATCACTAATTTTAATCAGCTAATCAAGCAATTAACATGTACCAACCATTGTACACTGGATTTTAAAGAGGCTGTTTTTCTCTTCCTAAACAGGAGATTGCCCAAAGCTACATTCGAAACTACGAGATGCCTCCAGAGCAGGCACCAACCAACGAGGCATTGGAGTCAGAAGACCATGGAAACGAAGGCACCAAGTTGATCTCCAAGCCATCACACTCCTCAAAGGAAGAAAAACTGGATACTCACGTCTAAGATAGATATCAACTATGACTTGTAAGTTAAAGTTTGGAAAAGAGTCATCTAGAACTGTAAAGATTGGTTTTTAGATCTTACTTTAAAAAAATTCATATAAGAGAGAAGCGTGAGTTGATTTTTCTGATGATAATTTTTATCAAAAAGGTCGAAGAACAGTATACTTTTTAATAAAAATGATTATCAAAAACTTTGGAGTTTAAAAAAAAGTAACCAAGAAATAGATTGTACTGTGTGAAGTGTATTCTTTGAATGAGAATGTCATAGATTCATCATTCATTAATATCTAGAGAGAGGTGGCTACTCTGAACAGGAAAATATCACAACTAAGAAGTCYTGCGTACTAAAAACCTTTGTGACATTTCAGCTTGTAAGGATTTTAATAAATTTACAGGTGATAGGACTGTCGATTAGTGCCGTAGTGTTCTGTATAAAGAACATATTTAACCCAGAAACTAAACATGATAGACCACAAAAAAATAACCTGTTTATGTTGATAAATTAAGTAAAAAGTACACCATGCATATCTATCATAGAGTAGATAATCTAGTAGAGTATGCTCGAGATGTTCAAATAGTGCAACTAGTGAAAAAGTAGTAACTAGTACAAAATTAAACAAAAGAAAACAAGGTATCTTGTTTTGTTTGATACTTTTTCATGGGTTCAATGCACTTTAAAATTAATTTTAAACTAGAAATAAGCTGTGTGTTTATGCTAAGATAGCAATAGAGATAATATAGCTATAAAAGAAAAAGTATTCAAGGCTTAAATTTTTAAGACTAAGTATTATAACAACACATGTTCCATAGATGTTCCATAGGTCTATATTTTGAAATTTAGTTTTAAGTCTAGAGTTGTATCACAATAATAATGTACCCTAAGATCACTGATAAAATAAAGTTACTCACGATCTTTATTTTCTCATGTTTTCCTTTTTACTAATCCCTTCTCATTTTCATCCCAAATGTTAGGACTATAACCCATGCTTTTAACCAATTTTGGTCCATTTTCACACCTTTTGAAAAAATATGCATTATTTATGAACGATGC